GATCTAATTGTCTATAAATGATGCTAATGTGTATTGTGTGCTTATTATTAGTGCAATTTACCTTAGTAGCATGGCATTGTGTCCTTTACAGTTACAAAGATGTATTACTTGATGTGTTAGGAGTATCTAATTGTATATAAAAGATGGTAATGTGTGTATTGTGTACTTCCGTCACAAAAAATTGTGCCAGGATCATGCATAATGTTTGGCAAGAATCTGGTCAAGGTCTAAGATAATGTAAAATTATACATGATTTTGAAACAAAAATATTTCATGATCTTGTGTAAACTTGTTAATATCTTGTATAATATCTTCAACCAAAATCATGCACTTTCAAGAATGACTGAATGCACTATCTTGAAATATCTTTACACAAGATTATGCTGGATCTGGTCAAGATCTTGTTTCAATTTCTTGTAATTGTTATTTCATAGTTAAAATTCAAAACAAATCATCTATTGGTAATCACGTTAGTAAAACAACCTGTCAAATTTTGACATGATACTGGCGTTTAGTCATCTTTAATTAATATCACTTCCTTTGCTTTTTTGTATTTCTGATTAAGTGTACTTTTCATGTTTGAAAGAATATACTGGTCTTTGAATCGTTTCTTGAGACATCCTAAATTTTATCAATTAAAGAGTAATATTTTTGTCAATATTGAAACTTACCAAATAACAATTATACTTGATCATTGTCTAATGCTGTTTTTGGACTTTTGCTTGTTGGTAGTAGTACACCACTTTCTTAGTAAACAAAGCATCCAGTATAGATCGTCCATAGCTATAAGCATTATTTGCAGGCAATGCTCTTAAGTCAATTCCATTAACCTATTTATGAATGACAAATAAAAGACAAATTAATTTCTGAACTAACAATATATCTTTCTTCAGTTTCTAAATCTACATCTGACTCATACTTGTCGCTATGCATTAGCATCCTTTCAATTTAGTCAAATTTTTTATCCATCTGAATAAGCAAACCCTACGTTATCAGACAAATTTAACTGAATATACATATCTTACTGACCTTCAACCCAGTTTCATCTCTACTGATTTTTGAAACTTCAGAAGTTTCTGAATTAATCTTAATAACTTGTGAAGCCTCATCTAGTAGTGACTGAGTATCATCATTGCATTCTGTTTCCTGAAGTAAATATAATTATTCTAAATGCAAATTAATCTTAAATGTTAATCAAAATTCAGCTTGAATATTAAATCTATAAACATCAAAGTCCTGCTAAAAATGACAAGACTGTTTTAATGTGTTAAGGTAGCCAGCAACTGTATGTACAAAGACATCAAAACTACTGCAAAAATGATGCACTAACAGTTTTAATGTTAAAAAGCCCATAAAGTGTAAAAACAGATATTTAATATACATTGAATATGCATACTAACTTTTTCAGCTGTTATTAAAGCAGTGTTGACTCTATTCTTGACAATTTTTTTATTGTTATGTCGACTTTTAGTAGGAGTTTCTGCTGTTGTACCTATTACACATATGTATGGTTAATATAGTACTTAATTAGCTATAAATTTTACCTTCATTATTGCAGATTATGACTACATCATAACTTTTTCCACCAGCGTCATAAATGACACTGTTACCATCATGTATATCACTAAGGCTTAGGTCTTCACCGTGTCCTTTGTCAATTTGTCTGCACTTGCCATTAAAACTTTCCCACTTTGGCAACACATCACTTTGACTTTTCCTTTTAAGGGAGCAGTACTAAGGTAAATTGATTTGTTTTTTGCACTATCCTGAATAGAAAAAATACAGCGATTTGTAACGAATTTGCCACTAGTCACGTGATGGATATACTTTGTCACGTGATAAGATTGCAGGTGCCAGGTGGTAATAGTGTGACTGATTAGTGTCAACTGGTAATGGCCAACAATCCTTACTTTCAACTTCTACAAGCATTGGCTGCAGCACGCCAAGCGGTGCCAGTTAGTACTACGGTGACAGGAAATGTAACTAACAGTGTCATTTCGCCTTCTACAGTAGAGAACCAAGGTGGCATACAATCGCAAACACAACCCCAAGTGACGCCCGTATCATTGTTACCTACTGTAACTCAGGCTGGACCTTCTACCGTGACAGAGGCCACTCAGGAGGTGTCGGAAAAGGTATGAATCCAGTCTTAACATTTGCATTATGTCATTGACATATTTATTTTAGGGTAGCTCTCAAAAATATACCTACAAGGTCAAGATTTTATATCCTAAAAGGAAAAGAGAGGCGGTGACAGCTTTTGTGCACAATTTTCACTCAATTTTTGTCTGTAACTTCTGTAAAGGCTCATCTGCTAGATGAATTCAGTGACATGCTTCCAAAAGATCTTTCTTTTTCTGTGGGATTTTATGAAGGGTGATGTAAGAGGCTACTGGTAATGAATGATGATTTGAAATTGATGTACCAGCTGGATAGGAAAGATATTTGTTTATGGTGTGATGGAATAGTGGAAGATGATAGTGCTCACACTTCAGTAAGTGGACCATCTAAGAAAGCGAAGGAGGCAGTTACAAGGCGAGAACAGCAAGAATTGAACATTGATGATACTTTTATGCAGCTAAAAGCAAAGCATGGAAGTGCCTTTACTGCCCCTCTCTTAAGGCTATGGGCGAGAGTTGTTGTAAATGGACATCATGATTCATTAGATGATCCTCCAAGTCTTCCTCAGTTTAAGTCTAAAGGAATAAATAATTATGTTGACAAAACTTTGTCACCTAGTAAAGTTGCTGATATGAGAGGCAAGTACATAGAGCAACTTCAGCAGATAAAATCATTGAGTAATGATGGTATTCTAGATCAACAAGAATATGAAGAGCAAAAAGGCATTATTTTAGGAGCATTAAGGAAGTTGAAGTAACTATAATTGTAACTTTGACTAGTGAATTCATAATAATTATTATAATCAAAACTCATTTATACATTTATTGTACATGCATCATGCAATTTTCAATTGAATGAATGCAGTCATTTAAGGTGACAGTTGAAAGTGCACTGAGAATGAGTGTATCAATATCTAAGTCAGGGTAACATGTTTCTTGTTCTTTTAGTGCAGTTTTGAATTTAGAGAACACATTCTCAATAGGGTTCAAATCTGGTGAATATGGTGGTAAGAAATGAACTAG